AAAATACGATGTTGCACAGCCACTAAGAAGGGGTATCAAGATCAAGTTGGATGGTGAAGAGGGTAGCTGCTGGGTTCCAATGCAATATGAGAAACTCCCATATATTTTGCTTTCATTGTGGAATCTTGGGACACCTGGTCAAAGACTAAAAAGCAGTTGTTGAAGCTATGGAGCAGCGAAAAGGCTATCTAGCACCTTATGGCCCCTGGCTTAGGTATCAAGGTTCGTTGAAGGGAAGAGTCGGGATGTCACGTACATGAGGGTCTTTGTTAAACTCGGAAGATGAGATCTCCAATAGTAGAACATGAGTAAGGAAAAGGAGGGGGTGCTGCAGAAGGTCAGTGAGGAAGAGGAAGACGACAAAACAGATAGAAGTTGGGGAAACGAAGGCCATGGTGATCGGAGGGGGTGTGCTGGCGAGCGGTCGAGGGACAAAACAGCAATGGAAAGTCCGATGGTGTCTGACATAATGGCTGGTGATTCTGTTTCCTTTTCTGAAAATATTTTTGGCAGAAAAGATGAGAAGTTTGCGGATCTAGCGGGACTGGTGGGAAGTAAGGAATCTCTTTCTGAGGAAAGGATAACTGTTGCATCTAGGAAGGCAAAAATCAAGGATATTGGGGTGGATGGTGACAATAGTGTATTAAATGGAGAAAGAGTGGTAGAAGATTTGAGGGAGGGTGGCTCTGAGAGGCCTATTACCATTGATTGCCCAAACTGCACACAAAAAAGGGAGAATGACGGCCCAAAGTCAGTTAGACAATGGAAGCGAAGGGCCCGGGAGAAAGGGCTGAGTGAGGTTGGGAGTGTTGTCAAGAGCCATGAAAATATTATGTTGGAATGTTCGAGGGTTGGGGAATTCGAAAACATTCAAAGATGTAAGTGACGTATTAAGTCACCTAAATCCCCATGTTATTTTTAGAATAATGAAACACATTATATTTGTTGAGAAGTGCAAAATTGTATAGATACGATCCTCATTGTGCATCTTGATCAATTATATCGTTTCTTTGTAGATTCCGATACGAAGCTTTTGTATATGTGTTTCTGGGTCCTGTTTAGGGGGAGGACTTTCTTGATCGCCTCATTCKGCCCTTCCATCCAGGGGTTAGTGGCTAAAGTCTCTCCGATGGTACGCTGAGGTTAGCGTAAATTACGATGTGTCGCTCGAGGTTTCTCGAGCCCCCTATTGTATCGCCCTTCTCAATGTCTTCCACTCACCTAGTGGATCTAGGAGGCAAGGGGAATCCATTGGTCGGAGTCAAAATGTAATTATGTTTCCTTCAATAAATTAAAAGCTCGTTTGCAGTATTATGGGTGTTTTGTGGTGGAGAGTCATGGTAAAAGTGGTGGTCTTAAGTTGCTCTGGAAGGATGAAGTTGATCTTTAGGTCATATTCAGATTTCCATATTGATGCCCGAGTAAAGTGGACTTGTGCAAACTTCCGATTCTCGGGGATTTATGGAGACCAAAATGATATGAACCAAAGTGTCTTAGTGCTCAAGGATTTAAAGGAAGATGTTGAGAATCCTATGTCCAAGTTGACAACAAATTGGAGTTGCATTAAATGCACTCTAGTGTCATTTATGGCAACCTCAAGTAGCATTGAATGAAGTCAAGAACAAGTCCAACTTCATTTACTACAAACTCAAGTTGCATTAATGGAAGTCTAAGTTGAACTCAAGATGCATTAAATGAACAAGACTTCAAAGTACTTGAAAGTAGTTCAAACTCCAGTTCATTCACTCTTGAAGGGTTACAAACTCTTAGTTTTATGGTGGAGGAGTTTCATTCTCGGATTTAAAGCATGTTTAATTGTATTTTCAGTTTTAAACATTTCATTTATGTGTTTTAAGTTTTATTTGTGCTAGTGGTGGTTATGGTATTGATGTAGTAGGGAGTTACAACCTTTACAATTCTTTTAGGTTACTTGAAGGGTTGTTTTGGAGGCTATAAATAGCCTAGCTTGTTCCCTTGGAAAAACAGATTTGAGATTTGAGTTTTAAGATAATGAAATTTAAGCTTATTGAGCCATAAGCTTTTCCTTTGCATTTCTTATGTTTTAGAATTGCATGCTAGAGTCATTCAAGTAGCCTTGATCAAGCTATCGTGTGGAGTGGTTCAAATCTTGAGTTTAGAAACAAGTTTTCTCTACTCTTGATATTGATCATCAAGGTAAATCCGTTTTAACTTCTTCCTTGGGTTGACATCATCTCGATTTGGGGGTTTTAACATTTGTGATCTAGGGTTTTGCATAACCATAAGGGTTCTTAGATCCAATTGGCTATTGTTTTCTTATCACAAAATCTCATAACAGACAGTTTACTTGGAAGCGCTTAAGACGGCTGCATGACGGTGAAGATTCAGCGTGGGTGGTGGGGGTGATTGGACGAGGTTCTTTTTATGAAGGAAAAAGATGGAGGTAGGGGAAAGCGCACTACCCTTGTGGAGGATTTCCGTGAAGCTGTTGATGATTGTAGATTGCAAGATCTTGGTTTCCAGGGCTTCTTGTTCACTTGGTGTAATCGAAGGAAGAATGAGGATCAAATATGTAAGCACCTGGACAAATTTTTGGGCAATGAGACATTTATGAATTTGTGGGTAAATGTCAGTGTTCAACATCAGGATTGGGCAACATCAAATCATAGACCTATCTTGCTTCGTTTAAGTGATAGCAGGATAAGGCATGCCAGACGAAAATATGCCTTTAAATTTGAGGAGGTGTGGACTAAATCCGAGGAGTGTGAGTCTATAATCAAGGCTATTGGTGATTGGGAGGTCAGGGTGAGGCAGAGTTGTCTTGCAGATTGCCTGAAGAGATGTGTTGTCGATTCAGGGACGTGGGGGAGAAATTTCAACAAGTCTTTCAAAAAGAAGATTGTCCAAATTTGCTCAGCTCTATCTAGTATTTATGAGAGTCCCCCGCCCTGGGATTTTGACTTAATTCATAGATGGGAGCAGGAATTAGATGATGTTCTCGAAAAAGAGGAAATCTATTGGAAGCAAAGATCGCGCGAGAATTGGCTTAATTGGGGAGATCGGAATACGAAATGGTTTCATAAGCATGCAAGCATGAGAAGGAAGAAAAATGAAATTAGAGGAATTGAAACTGAAACTAATGAATGGACAGAGGATATGGCTGAAGTGGAGGCGTGTTTTCTTTCTTATTTTGAGGAAATTTTCTCGTCTTCACACCCAAGGGAGGAGGACATGGATAAAATTGTGCAGAATGTTTTGAGATTGGTTACGGTAGAGATGAATGCAAGGTTGTTAGCCCCCTTCTACAGGGTGGAAATTGAGCAGGCTCTCAAACAGATGCATCCTACGAAAACCCCTGGTCTTCATGGGTTCCCTACTCTCTTTTATCAGAAGTACTGGGGTGTAGTGGGAAACAAAACAGTGGAAAGATGCTTGGATATTCTTAATAGAAAGCATTCGGTCAAATATTGGAACTCCACTACTATTGCTCTTATCCCGAAAATGTCAAAGCCCCGCAAAGTGTCAGATTTTAGGCCTATTAGTCTCTGCAATGTCTCTTATAAAATAATCTCGAAGGTCCTGGCAAACAGAATGAAAGTTGTTCTAAATGAGATTATCTCCGATAGTCAGTCTGCCTTCATCCCAGGAAGGATCATTTATGATAATATTATCATCGGCTATGAGTGCATTCATGCGATGAAGAAGAAATGAACAGGTGCAGCTCGGATGGTAGCTGTCAAGCTTGACATGAGTAAAGCTTACGACCGGGTAGAATGGGTTTTTTTTGGAGAAAATGATGTTAAAAATGGGTTTTGATGCCTGCTAAATAACTCTTATAATGGATTGTATCACATCACATTCTTTTTCAGTGAATTATTAATGGAGAAGCCAAAGCCAGCATTGCCCCTCAAAGGGGTTAAGGCAAGGGGACCCAATATCCTCTTACCTTTTCCTCATTTGCACCGAGGGCCTGTCCGCGACAATCCAAAAAGCTCAGGAAGYAGGAAGGATTTCAGGTATTTCGCTATCGTCTATGTGCCCAATTATTTCTCAGTCTAATTTTCTACAAAGCGAAGATTTATAAGCTCTATGCTTTGAAGATGATCTTATTGGACTACGAAAAGGCGGCGGGATAGAAAGTCAATTTTGACAAGTTGGCTATGTGGTTTTCTCCAAATGTTAAGGATGATTTTAAAAACTATATGAATTTGATCATAGGCATGAAACTGGTTCTAAATGTAGGCGATTATTTGGTCTCCCGTCTAACCTTTCGCGAAGCAAAAGCAGGGATTTTGCAAGGATAAAGGATAGAGTCTGGAAGGTGGAGCAGGGCTGGAAAACTAGTTTCTTTTCGGCTGGAGGTAAGGATTAAGAGTGTGGCGCAAGCTATCCCAACATATGCGATGAGTTGCTTTAAGCTCCCGAAATGTTTCTACGAGGAACTTTCAAAGGATATAGGCTAGGTTTTGGTGGGGTACGACGGAGACAAAGAAAAGGATCCATTGGATGAGCTGGATAAAATGTGCTGGCCCAAAAAGTTTGAGGGATTGAACTTTCGAGATTTAGAGGTGTTTAACAAGGCTCTTTTGGCAAAACAATTATGGAGATTGGTCCATCAACCAAACCTATTGGTGTCTCGAGTTATCAAGGGTCTTTATGCTGCCGAGGGCACCCTGATGGATGCTGACATTGGTTCCCAACTTATTTTTGGCAAGGAATAATTTGGTGCTGAGATCTTTTAAAACTGGGGTCGAGGAAGGTGGTTGGGATTGGTGAAATAATTGATTTCTATAGGGATCCGTGGCTTCCGAAGGAGTCCACGTTCAGACTGCTTTCCCCAAATCTCATTCCTGAGATGCAGATGAGGGTGGCTGATTTCATAACCCCCTCAAAACAATGGGATATTCTAAAGCTCAAGGGGGCTGTTTGTGATGCGGATGTAGAGGTGATCACTAACATCCCGATTAGTTATATGGGGGTGGAGGATCGATAGGCATGGCACTTTAATAAGAATGGGATGTGCTCAGTCAAGAGCGGGTACAAAACAGAAATGAGACATAAGCTACTGATGCATTCAACACGTAACAGTAACAATGAAGTTTGGTGGAGGAAGTTTTGGAAAATCCAGACGCCACCTAAAATTCAAGTGTTTATGTGGAAAGTGTGTCATAACATCATTCCTGTGCTTAAAAATCTTCAGAGGAAAGGGATAAAGGTGATACTAGTTTGTCCTAGGTGTTCTTTAAAAGTGGCGTGCGGTTCTTCCTAAGGCAGAGCTTGGGAGCCTTTTTAATGACTGCTTTCTGGAGAGATGGTCGTACTGGATGCAGAATTTATCAACTTCTGAACTGAGGTTAACCGGAATCACGTGTTGGGCCCTATGGAATGATCGCGATGCGTTGATCAACAAGAAGAAGATCCCGGAAGCTCTAATTAAAGTTGAATGGATTTTAAAATATGCTGAAGAAGTTAGGATGAAATACCATAATGGAATGAAGAGAAGAATTCCTCGAGTGAATGAATGGAGGCCCCCCCTTGGGGGTGTGGTGAAGATGAACACGGATGCGGCTGTGTCGGAGGAGGGATCGGGTGTTGGTGTTCTGCTTCGTGAGGGAAATGCAGAGATTGTGGGGGCCATGGTTGATTTTCATATGGTGAAGACTCCTCTGCTGGCTAAAATTTTGGCAATCAGGGAAGGTTTGAGCCTGGCAACAAGGTTGGGGGTCCATCGAGTCGTAGTGGAGACGGATTCACTTGAAGCCCTAAATTTAATTGGGGATAAATCACCATGGAAGGGAGAAGCTGTAAGTTGGGTTGAAGATATCAGAGCCTTTGCTAGGGATTTCCAAGAAATTTGTTTCCAGCATGTTTTCAGAGAATCAAATGCAGTTGCGTATCATCTTGGGAGAGAGACTATTTCTCTTCGTTGTGGCTTCTTGTGGCGATTGGATTTTCCCATCTGGTTGGGTAGGTTGGCGGAAGCTGGCAAACAAAACTCTGTAGCCTTAATGGCCTTTTAGTTGTTTCTTTAAAAGCGTGTTCTGTTTCATTGGGGTGGAATCAGATTCTCTTGAAGCCCTAAATTTAATTGGGGATAAATCACCATGGAAGGGAGAAGCTGCAAGTTAGGTTGAAGATATCAGAGCCCTTGCTAGGGATTTCCAGGAAATTTGTTTCCAGCATGTTTCCAAAAAATCAAATGTGCTGCGCATCATCTTGCGAGAGAGGCCATTTCTCTTCGCTGTGGCTTCTTGTGGCGATTGGATTTTCCCATCTGGTTATGTAGGTTGGCGGAAGCTGACAAACAAAACTCTGTAACGTTAATGGCTTTTAGTTGTTTCTTTAAAAATATATATATATAAATATAGATATATGGTATAGATAGATACTATAGATATAGTTGTTTCCTTTTGAAATATAATATTCCATTATTATTAATAATATTTTCTTTTAAAAAAAATCTTGTTTTGAAAAATACTTTTGTCTTTCGTCCATAGCTCGCCCTCTTCAGCCATCACTCAGCGCAGTCCTGATCTCCCTGGCATTTGCCGTCGAGCCGCCGGCGCCATCCGTTGCTATCAACGCGCTGTCGTAGATACAGATTATCACTCGCGCTCTCCGCACTATCTTTGATTATCAGTACGTTTTTCTCTTCCCCTACGCAGATCTACGCTGACTGAATCCTATCTTCTTGCATTTATCTTCTCCATTGTCAAGTGTTTTGAGGCTAGGGTTTTCCTATTGCGAGTAGATTTGATTCTGCTATTCCTTTGTTTTTAATCTCGATGTCTTGTGTTTTAGTTGATTCAATGTGTTGTTTGGGTGCTATAGTAGATGTTGGGTTCGATTAGGAATTGGAGATTCTTGTAACGTTCCGCTGTTTATCGCAGCAGCGTGATTGTTCAATATAGTTTCAATGCTGTTTAAGTATAGGATTCAGTTTGCTGAGAGAGTTGGGTTAATATGACAGTTAAAAGACATTTTGAGAATAAAAAACATGTTTCAATGCCGTCCTTTTTTATATTTATAGTTCAATATAGTTCAATAAAGATGCAAGATTATTAGTGTTATGTACACTGTGATTTGGTGTTAATTTGGATTATAGTTTGGTTAATGGCAGTGTGAAGGCAACAATGGATAGATACAAGAAGGCATCCTCAGATTCCTCCAACACTGGATCTACTTCTGAAGCTAACACTCAGGTACAATTCAATTTCCTGTTAATGTAAAGAGAGGAATGATTATTCAATCTGAGTGTTGGGCATGGAAGAAAAACTTAATGGTTTGGGAAAAAGGGATAAGTTTTACAAGGCAAAAAATTAATGGTTATAATTAGCAGTCGGATTCCAATTATATCAATTTGGTAATTTTCTTATTCTCTAGTTGGCTTTTGAGGTTGTCTTTATTATTTTTAGGATATGTTGGATTTTTTAAAAATAAAAAATGATTTTGGATACGTGTCGAAGCGTGTCAGTGTCGACATGTGTCCGACACCGACACTTCTTCATTTTGAGTGTGTCCGTGCTACCTAGCCGACAGGCAGATTTAGCAGTTTTTTATTGCATATTAACAACCCTTAGTAGCTCCTACACAGTGAGCAACGAACATGAAACTTACAGAATTTGTATGATCTGATCTGAGAGTCACCATGCCAATGAATTGGAAATGAGAACGCCACATATGCACCTAATAGTATTAGAAAATGAATGCTAGATATCAAATTTAAAACAAAAAATAACACAATAACATCAAATCTGTGAACTGCATTGACTAAGTAAAGGAATTGATACATCATAATTGAGAGCAGCGAATACAATAAACAGACTTCCTACAACCTCATTCGGATAAAGTCCATTTGAAGTCAGATGGTGTTTTCTCTCAAAATTATGTTATTATTGCCTTTTCATGTGAGTTTCCATTTGAAGAGTAGTAATGTGCATATACTACCACTATACGTTCCATGCTAGTAGGAACTTTTATAAAGATAACATATGAAAAAGAGATGATATTATTTGCTTTGGTAAGGGGTGAAGATGCATGGCTTTTTTAATTTTTTTTTTTTAAATCCGTGTGTCCAAACCAGTTTGCACGCATCGGCCAACCGCCTAACCCTACTACATTTGGTTGACAAGGTAACTCGTAGGATATTAAATCTTGGGTAGGTGGCTGATAGACCCCCGATCACATATGGAGGAAGAAGGGTAATAGAGGGAAAGGGAATGTGATTGTGGGCCCGAGTTAGAGGGCATTTTTGACATTGAGTGGGTAATAGTAGGGTTGGTTATATAATCTGCTATTATAAAAGGGTGGGGGTATCTTTTTTGGCTATTGTTTGTGAGTAGCATAGGAGAGGATAGGGAGYTCTCGAAATCTCCCTCAACCTGTAATTCCCTTCTGTTATATAAATTATAGAGTTCTGGGCTCTATCATTTTGGTATCAAAGCAGTGAATTCTGGGCATGGTGACGAGAATGGAATCGAGGGTAGAAGCTGTTGAACAACAATTGTCCGGAGTGGCTTCGACTGTAGAAGATAGTAAGGAGTATTTGAAGAAGGAGATGATCTTGTTCAAAGAGGAAATACGATTATGGATGTCGGTTGTCGCACAGAAAATTGGAGTTGACGAGAAAAATCGAGACATTAAAGGAAAAGGGCCTGAAAAAGAACTTGAAATGGGGGAAAGACACTGATGAGTGTAGCGACATCAAGCGATGGGTCTAACCAGCTCATGAACGCCTCGGCGCCAATGTTCGACCTATGATTGCGGAAACTCGAAGTACCGATGTTAGACGAAGAAAACCCGGATGGATGGTTGCATTGGGTTGCACGGTATTTCATCATCAATCGATTGGCCGATAATGAAAAACTGGAGGCGGCGATCATGTGCTTAGAGGGAGAAGTGTTATCATGGCATCTAGGGGTGCACGTCAAAAACTGAGAAACCGAATCAAACCAAACCGAAAAATCGGTTTAATCGGGTTCATGGTTCGGTTCGATCTGAGAAAATAAACAAACCGAATTATTCGGTTCGGTTTCGGTTTGAAAAAGTAAAACCAAACTTCAGACCGAACCGAACCGATTACCTTTAAATATATATATTTTAATATTTTATATATTTAAACATACATATATTATATTATATTATATGTAAAGTGTTTGATATATCAATGGTGATGTGGGAGGATGCAAAAGATAGATAGGTTAGCGTGCAGGAAAAGAAATAATGTGGTGTCATGTCAGAGATGTCTTTTCTTTATTTATTTATTTATTTTTCTTCTTCTCGTGAGTCGTGAGTCTCTTCATATACGTGTTTCTTTCTTTTATGTTTTTTTCATCAAAATATGAATCTCCCTCTTCTCAAAGACTCATTAATCCCACCCATTTCTTTCTCTCTTTTTTCTCTCTTCAAAATGGAGTCTCATCTATCTCTTAAAACCCACGAATTTCTTTCTTTTATCATTTTTTTCTTCTTCAAAATAGCTTATGAGGCTCTTCTCTTTTCAAAGACCCACGAATCTCTTCTTCTTCCTTCAATGGCCGACGCACATAAAGAAAACTCACAACACGACAGTTTTGACAATGTCAACAGATCCAACTATCTACACCATCGTCATGACCGACGCCCCAAGCTACGGTTTCTCTGCTCCGACGAGATTTACAGACTTGCGTCTACAAGAACGACTTTCTTCATTTGTCCGCTAAACCGCAAAACCGAACCGTCAAACCATCGGTTTTTGGTTCGGTTCCATTCGGTTTGCATCTTGTTTGCGGTTCGGCGTGGTTTTTGTTTTTCTCATTTTTTAAATTTCGATTCGGTTTCGGTTTGGTCCCAAAACCGAACCAAACCAAACCGTGAACACCCCTAATGGCATCAATGGGAAAAGACACAGAGACCAATTTTGACTGGGGAGGAATTACGGATTCTCTTACTACAATGGTTTCGTCCGACGATGGAAGGCAGCCTATGTGATCGATTTGTGTCAATCCGGCAAGAAACGACGGTTAGGGATTACCCCTCAGCAAAACTAGGATAAAGTTGCGCCAAAAGATCCCGATTCAAGATAAATTCACGAGGAAGTGGAATCTCTTTAGGATCTACTCCAGCATTTAGAAATTGGTTAATCGGTAAAGATACGTGTACTTGATGCCCCGCCCAAGAAAGAGACCCAAGTCCTAGCAGACCHGCTAAATGGTGATTCAACATGGATTCTACATCTTGGAACCAAGCCAATTTTGGAGCAGCCTTGTGATAATGAAACCAACCGGCAAAAAGCATTAAGGCTGCAAAGACTAATGCACCAATTGCGGTACAATAGAGTTGTAATTCACTAGTTATTCCAGATGCTTGCCACATCTGAAAAAAACCAGAGGTTATTTGTATTCCTCGAAAGCCCCCGATTCAATCGGGGGATCGAATTGATTATAGAAACATGAGTTTAATTAGTCGATTTATTAGTGAACAAGGAAAAATATTATCTAGACGGGTAAATAGATTGACCTTAAAACAGCAACGCTTAATTACTATTGCTATAAAACAAGCTCGTATTTTATCTTTGTTACCTTTTCTTAATAATGAGAAACAATTTGAAAGAAGCGAGTCGACCGCTAGAACTAGTGGTCTTAGAACCAGGAATCCGGTGGCGTTTTGAAGAAGCAGGTGGTCCAGTCGATGGGGTACCAGCAATTGTTCAAGAGAGTTTATTTCTCAATGGGCTTAAAGAGGAAATCAGGAAAGAGGTTAGGGTTTTAAAACCCAATGGGCTTAAGGCTGTAATGCAATTGGCCCAATTAATAGAGGATAAGAATTCGCAAGGCCCTGCACAAGGATAAACGGTAAAACCCAGCGGGTCTTCAATTGGGTCGGCCCGAACCGTCTCCTTTAGCCCTACCCAGTCTTCATCGACGCGTCACTTAGAGACGGCTACGAAGGGGACGGAAAAATCGACTGGTACGGGTCTTTTCGATGGCTTTCTGACGCGGAATTGAAATTAAAACGAGAGAAGAGTCTGTGTTATCGTTGTGATGAGAAATTCACGCCCAGGCAGCAAAAAGAAGGAACTGCAAGTCCTTGTTGTGTAGGAGGTCGACAATGGAGGGGAGGAATTTGTAGATGTCGTCGATTCCATCATCAAGGAACCCGAAAAGGAAGGGGCGGCACCAGCTGTTCTCTCGCTCAACTCCCTTGCCGGATTAGTGACTTCCCGCACAAAGACACTTAAGGTGCGTGGGTTAATTGCGGGCCACGAGGCAGTCGTGTTGGTTGACGCGGGGCGTCACACAACTTCATTGCGGTGGAGTTTGCATGAAAGTGCTAGTTGCCTCTCAGCAAAACAGGGGAGTATGGTGTCATTCTGGGCACGGGCGATGAAGTGGCCAGACAAGGGGTTTGTAAAAAGGTAGAAGTCGTCTTCCCAAATGTGACGGTAGTCCAAGATTTTCTACCCATTCCCTTGGGCAGTGCAGATGTGATCCTGGGCGCACAGTGGCTATCGACCTTGGGAGATGTCACCATCAATGTCGCAAAGTTAACGATGTGCTTTGAACTCGGTGCACGGGTTATCGTTATGCAAGGATAGTATCAGATACAGAAAACCCAAGTGTCTTTGGAGGCAATGTTGCGGGCCGTGCGTCTGGAGAAACATGGAGTCCTCTTAGAATTGCATTCGCTAGCCGCTGATGCTCTCGAGTCCCAACCTAAGGTGACAGGTGTGATTCCGTGGGAAGTCCAGCAAGTATTTGAAAAATTTTCGCAGATTTTTCAACCACTCGTGAGTCTTCCCCCCTCACGGACCTGTGATCATGCTATTGAGCTTCAGCCCTCTGTCGGGACGGTGAACATGCGTCCGTATCATTACCCACAGTTCCAGAAGGATGAAATTGAAAGGTTAGTCCAAGAAATTTTGATTGCAGGGATTATCCAGCCGAGTTCCCGTGCGTTTTCCAGCCCTGTCCTCTTGGTGAAGAAGAAAGACGGCAGTTGGCGTTTTTGCATTTGACTATCGGGCTTTAAATCTGGTCACGATCCTTGATCAGTTCCCTATTCCAGTTGTTGAGAAGCTACTGGATGAACTTTTCGGGGCTACCATGTTCTCCAAAATCAATTTGAAATCGGGCTACCATCAGATTCGAGTACGGCCCAATGATGTCCATAAGAGACGGCTTTCCGCAGCCATGACGGGCATTATGAGTTCCTTGTCATGCTGTTTGGGTTGCGCAACACCCCATCCATCTTCCATTCCGTCATGAACGACATTTTGCGCCCATATCTACGTAAGTTTACCTTGGTTTTTTTTAATGACATATTGGTATACAGCTCCTCAGTGTAGGATCATGTGCAACACCTCGACTTAGTCTTTCAGGCTTTGGCTTCGCATCAGCTGGTGGCAAATAAAAAAAATGTTTCTTTGGGTGCCCCAGATTGAGTATTTGGGACATATTGTGTCCGCACAGGGCGTGGCTGCCGACCCCGCAAAAATTTCAGCTATGATAGTGGCCGGTACCCAAAAACATCAAGGAACTTCGCGGTTTTCTTGGGCTCACGGGTTACTACCAAAATTTTGTTAGGCACTATGGGTCCATTGCTTTTCATTTAACCCAGCTGCTCAAGAAGGATAATTTCATTTGGTCTAATGATGCCTGGACAGCCTTTGAGGCTCTTAAAAAGCATATGTCGGAGGTGCCAGTCCTTAACCTTCCCGACTTCTCCAAGCAGTTTGTAATTGAGACCGACGCGTCTGGGGTTGACCTTGAGGCCGTGTTGATGCAAGACCGCCGTCCAATCGCCTATTATAGTCATGCCTTGCCACTTAACCACCGCCATAAAGCCATTTATGAGCGCGAACTCATGGCTGTTGTCATGGCTATCCAAAAATGGCGCCCGTATCTGTCGAGACACAAGTTTTTGGTTCACACCGACCAACGGGCCTTGAAGTTCCTATTAGATCAACGTGTTATTCCTTGTGAATATCAACGTTGGATAACAAAGTTGATGGGCCATGAGTTTGACATTGAGTATAAACCGGGGATGGAAAATAAAGCCGTCGATGCACTCTCACGATGCCTGGAAGTAGCCCAGTTGTGTGCCCTGTCCTTGACCAGCGACTTTAACAGTACAGTGCTTGCCCAAGAACTTCTAAATGATGCTGATTTGTCCAAAGTGATCATGGCCCTTCGTTCGGGATCACCTGCTCCACCGGGATACTCATTGTCGCTCCAACCTCCCATTCGATACCGATTATTTTGCAGGAATTTCATGGCACGCTGATGGGAAGTCATTTGGCGTTTCTCAAGACATTGACTCGCCTCAACCGAGAGGTATATTGGCGTGGCATGTGCCGGGATGTACACCGTTATTGCGCTGAATGTTCGGTGTGCCAGCAAGCTAAGTATCTGTCATTGGCGCCGGCAGGGTTGTTACATCCATTACCCATATCGGATCGGGTTTTGGAAGACGTATCCATGGATTTTGTGGAAGGCCTGCCACGTTCTGAAGGATATAACTTGATATTGGTTGTGGTCGACAGTTTGTCCAAGTACAGCCATTTTCTCACCCTCAAACATCCTTTTACTGTAGTGACTGTGGCCCAGGTGTTTGTTCGGCAAGTGGTGCGCTTACATGGCATACCCCGCAGCATTGTGTCCGATCGGGATAAATTTTTTACCAGCCTCTTTTGGGAGGAATTATTCCGGTGTGCTGGGACCAGTTTACGTCGAAGCTCTTCTTACCACCCACAAACCGACAACCAAACCGAGGTAGTCAACCGTTGGCTTGAATCCTATTTACGGTGTTTCATCATGACCACAGCTTCTAAGTGGTTTCAATGGCTTGCATGGGCGGAATTTAGCTATAATACTTCCTTTCATACCTCCATGAAGATGTCTCCATTTGAGGTCGTTTATGGGCGGCCACCCCCCTCCCCCGTTCTGCCTTATGAACCGGGCCATTCCCCTGTGTCCACCGTCGACCAGCAGCTACACGAGAGGGATGAGATGATCCGTCGATTGAAGGATTATTTACAAGCTGCCCAACAACGTATGTTGACTCAGGCCAACGCCAAGCGTCGGGACGTGATCCACCCCGTATTCCATGTGTCTCAATTACAGAGGGTTGTTGGTCACACGTTTCCCGTGATTCCTTTTCCAAAGCAATTGGGAAAAGATGGTGTGGTAGTCGTTGCACCACTAGAGATACTTTGAGTTCGCACAAATGTCCACCCGGCTGCTGGTTTGGAGGTCCCGTTTGCTGGGAAGGAGGAACCGTGGACGATGCCACATGGGAACCATCGGAGGCTCTTCAGGCTCAGTTTCCAGATTTCCACCTTGAGGACAAGGTGTCTTCGTGGCGGGCGGGTAATGATAGACCCCCGATCATCAAGACATATGCGAGGAAGAAGGATAATAGAGGGAAAGGGAATGTTATTGTGGGCCGGAGTTAGTTAGAGGGCATTTTTGACATTGAGTGGGTAATAGTAGGGTTGGTTATATAATCTGCTGTCATTGAAGGGTGGGGGTATCTTTTTTGGCTATTGCTTGTGAGTAGTATAGGAGAGGATAGAGAGCTCTCGAAATCTCCCTCAACCTGTAATTCCCTTCTATTATATGAATAATAGAGTTCTGAGCTCTATCAGTGGCTACCATGGTTTGAACTCATTCCTTCTAAGCTCTTTACTATTTACATGGGTGAAGATGCATGGTTTTGAAACTTGAAAGTTTTGTTTTATAAATTATGTCTTGTTTTGTATTTTCTTTGGACTAAAATAAAAGTATTTCTCTTGTTTTTCTTAGACTAGAGTGAATAAAACAATATGGGAAGAGTTTTAAATCCGTTTATTTGGTTTTGTTCCCCCTGTTTTTAAGCATGATTGATAAGATATTAACTTCCACTTAATACTGGTCACATAAGCACGTTGAAGGTTGAATTATTTCGACAGGATCGATTTCAACATTTTTTGAAGGTTGGGTTAACCTTTGAAAAAAGATTTATCGAAGCTTTATTTTATACTTTTTTAAAGGTTGTGACCTTTGAAAATATTCAATTTTCTTGTAGTGAGTCCAGTGTTCTCAAGGTGCACCCAGTCGCTTACGGTGAGGGGCAAGGTGTTTTCACCTAGCCCCACCTTGAACGGCATCGATCCGGTGCGCGCCTTGCCTTGCCTTGGCACACCATCGCCATAAGGCAAGGCGAGCGCCTCTTTGAAGCGAGGCAAGCCACGTGTTTTTTTCTTTCTTTAAATTTTATTGTTATTTTTTTAAATTTTTATTTTGGTGAAAGAAACAATTTTATTGATGATATGAAATTACAGAAGGTCCCGAGGGGATTACATGTAGCACTTCAATTGTAGACTTGGGAATATGGCTATAGTAATGAAATAAGGGAGAACTTTTACACCAAGATATGACTATAAAGACGATTGTATCTAAAAGCCGTTCAAAAGGGAGATCTTTGTCGTTGAATGTATGGTAGTTTCTCTCCTTCCAAAGAATCCAAAAAAAGGTTCTAACAAAATACTTGCAAAGAACTTCCTTTTCTATTTTGAAGGGGTGGCCATGAGGGTGGCTTCCAATAGGGAAGGGAAGGTCACCAGGCAAAACAGTGGTCCATCCAACTTGATTAAGAGAAAATTCCAGAACCTTGATGCAAGTGGGCAGGTGATAAATAGGTGTTGCGTTTCTGAGGCTTGTCTACAAAGAATGCACCAGTGTGGAGATATGGACTTATATGGCTGCCTTCTTTGGAGCTTGTCACAGGTGTTCATAGCACAGTGGCTGCATTCCCACAGGAAAAATTTGATCTTTTTTGGGTAGGGGTCCTTCCAGATTGCTTTGTAAAGTCTAGGATGAGGTCTCAACAATTGTTAAATTTTTTTGTTATCTATGATATATTAAAAAGATAGCATCTCTGACAAACATTTTTGGACAAGGATACCCTATATTTTTTTTGATTAATTACATTATTGTCATTAATGGCCACTATTACGTGCCACCTCTATTTTTTTAATTAATTACCTTCTCTCCATTAATGCTCACTATTATATGCCGCCTTATAATTTTTACCGATTTAACGTCTATTTATAACAGAAACGTTAAATTAAGACATTTATTTGCATTTGGACTTTTCATTTTTTTCCCTATTACTTTATTAAATTTGGTGGCCATTACCCATGATTTCATACGTTTTCAGATATAAATAATTGAAATTTATTAGATTGACCTTTTTAAAAAAAAAATTATTAGATTGACCTTTTAATTCCTTTTATGTTACTTATTAAAGATGGAAAAAAAATGTATAAATATGGTTACATTAACAATTTCCATATCCTAATTTGGTAATTGAGGAGCTCTCTTTTTGGTAATTCAAATTCTCAAATTTGGTAAATCAATATTCTTTGATTGCAAAGATGAATATGGTGATTGACGACTTGGGCCTTTTCAAAAGGGTTGGACAATTAAGGTTACCATTGTTCGAAAATTTTACATACAAAAGGTGACAAACAGAAAAGGGGAACCATTGAGAATCATGAAATTGATAGTGATCGACACAAAGGTAATTGTTTTATTGAGCAAATTAGTCTTTGTCGTCCAATTTTTAATCTCTCCCACTTATCTATAATAATGTTCCACAATGTAGGGAGTTTGTATTGAAGTCAATTTGTTTAACGACTTGATTGAAAAGTTTGGAGACATGTTGGAAAAGGAAAAAACATATACGATCAATGATGGAAACATCAAACCAATTGATGTGAGATACATAAATGTTCATTCCAAATTGAGATTTCATTATCTCAAAATAGCAAGGTGAAAGAAATTGAAGGAGAAATATTCTTTCTCAGAAAACAAGATTTTTACAATTTTGAATCAGTCCTCGATTATCGGAGCGTATGTACCTACCTAAATTTTTGTAAAGACATTTTCATAATTATTTTATTATTTAATTAGTTAAAATAATCTTCTTTTTTTTCAGATGTGATAGGCAGAGTTGTACAAATAAAACCTATAATTTTCAGAAAGACTCGTGATGGAAGTTATTCAAAGAAAAGGGAAGTTCTACTCATGGACAATAAGTTTCTATTGTATTACAAATTTCAAATGATTTAGATACATACTATTTACCTATTTACCTAATCTTTTCTTATTCTTATTACATATATAGGTTGAATACAATAAAATTACACTGTGGACGATTTAGCAGAAAATGAAGGGCAATATCTAGAAGAAAATGGCAAGACACAAAACGTGATTCTAATCACAAATGTCAAACCTAACCAATTTGAAGGTACTTATTTGTTTGTAAAGTAATTCAATGTTGTGAATACAAATATATAAACTAAACACTACAACTTAAAATTACAGGTGAGGTTAGCATATCATCTTCAAATATTAGTGTAGTTGCCACATAAATCCATTGTTGAATGAAATTGAGACATTGAAGTGCTGGCAAGTATTTTAAAACTTATAATTGTGTTCTTTTTTAGTATAGTTATAATTCTAATTATTTATGTGTATTAAAATATATTATTATATTTAATTTAATATTTTAAGACAATAAATTTTAGGATGCATACTCTTACAGAAGACAAAAAATTGAGGGATCTTTTATATCCGTCAAAGAAAATGATACAAGCAAAATAAGTAATCATGGATGATGTTATCAAAGGAAAAGTATGTGATCAATATTGTTCTTTTATTGGAAGAATAGTAAAGATCCATAATAAAGATTCTTCATGGTTTGAAAAATGCAATTCATGTAATGAGAGAATATATCTCGTAAACTACAACCCAACAGCTCATTGTATACCATGTGAAAATGAGAATTCGACTTTTACAAGAAAATTCGTATTGTGAATTTTTGATGGTGAAGAAGAGAGCTACATAACTATTTTTTGTGCTGCTGATTACATAGTTGGATGCAATGCAACTGAATATTTCAATGATTTAAAGGTATTTGTTTAAACTGAAACTTATTATTTCTTTTAGTAAAAAACCAATAACTAATTTTAATTTCTATTTTGCAAGATGCCAAAAAAGAAAAAAGTAAGTATTATCAAAATTTGGTAGTTGCGGAAGATAAAAAATACTACTTTTTGGTTAAGATGGATAAAGTTGGAGAAAGTAACGGTGCACGCAAACAAATCACTGTTCAAGAAATTTATACTATTGGTTCAATGGCTTACAAAAAACATGAACAAGATAAAGAGAAGAAAAAGACAATTGAAACTCAAGAGAAGAACAAGCGTGCAAAAGTATCGGAAAAAATTAGATGTTGATTGTTTGAGAAAGCTATTTTACATTTTATTTTGAATCCATGTCATGATATTACAATGTCGTTGTTGATTTCTTTCATAGTTTGAAGTTTTATGTTTTTTTCAATTCAAATGCAATGGAATATCTTACAATGCTTTCAATTGTTTCTAAAACTCCTGTTACAACATTATGTTGCATTAAACAAAAATAAGGTAAACAAAGCAAAAAAAAAATGAAATAGATTATTAAAATAAAATTTTGTTATTATTTATTGTATTGACCAAATAAAAAAAAATCAATTCTTGAAGAATATATTAAATGAATATTTATGAAAAAACCCGTAAAGACATAATATTAATGATCTATCTCCAAAATAAAAAATTAAAAGAAAGAAATGAAATGAGATGAAATTATATTTTTATTGTAAAATGAACTTATACTTAATTTTTGCTTTTGACCATCTTAATTTTTTCTTTTAACCACTGTCGCAACGTCATCGCGACGCGGAGCGGCCGACGTCATCCCTTGACGGATCTCTTTCGAGATAAGGGTTTGGAGTCGCCACCAATCATCTACAAGGTGTGATTGGTCACCTAAAAATAAAACAAGGTCTGCGAAAATAGATTGTTGGTTCGGGAGTCGACTGAGCATAGAGAAGGTGTTAACACCCTACGACACCCGTTCGAAAACGGTACCACATTTTGTCAAAAATTATCCTATTATTTTATTTGGTCCAAATAAAAATGTTTTTATTTTATTTTAAATGCCTCGTATTATATTAATTCACATTTTGTAATAAAATATGAATGTTAGGTATGAGTGGCACGAAGGCCATTAGGAAAATTTACACTAAAACAGCACACCAATGTGCCATCACTGACATTCAAAGACTAACTTGGGCATGTACATTAAAATTCAAACATCTTACCACTATGCCAACATCTTAAGATGTAAACATTATATTCTTTTACACAAAAAAAGTTTTAATTTATTTTTTTAAACTAAAAAAAAACCTACGAATTTTGTAAAATTAAAACAAAAAATAAATAATTTTTTTTTATTTATTTCGAAATTAACGAGATTATTTCTATTTAAAAATAAAGTCAAATTTACTTTAACAAAACTTATTTGCTAAAACTGATTTTTTGTTAAAATTCTTTTCAAACCATAATCACCGAACCATTAAAAGAAATTTTTTAAAAAATGAGATTTTATTCTAAAATACTCTGTTTTTATCTTTTTTTTTTTTAAAAAATCCTGCAGTAGAATATTCGTTTTTAATTAAAAAATAAAACTAAATTGACACAAAAAGTAAACCTTGTAAAAAAAATCATTTTAAATAAAAACTATCTCTTAAACTTTGAATCCAAATTTAAAAGAATCCAAATTTTTTTAAACAAGATTTATTTTATAAAACTCCAATTTTTTTTCAACGTATTTTAACCAAAATTTTAAAGTAAAATATTTTATTAAAATAAAATTAAGTTTATATTTATTTCATTTAAAAAGCTTAGAAAATGAAAACCTTTTATTTTAAAACAAATTTTAAAATATCAAAATCCTTATTTTATTTTCAAAAACTTATTTAAAATTAATTTAGAAGATTTTTTTTTATCTTAAAAAAAAGGTTTCTTACTAAAAGCATTTTATTTAAAAAAAAGTAAAAGAAAAACTTTTTATTAAAAAAAAATATTTTTTTCTAAAAAAAAAAAATCTTTTGATAGAAACAAAAGAATCTGTTTCAAATTAAAAGCATGATTTCCAAAGCCAATTTTCCTTTATTTAGAAAAAAAAAAAATTTTCCAACGTATTTGATACTTACTTAAAACGCACTACCGATACTTACTTAAAACGCACTACCGGGAAAGAGATCATCGGAGTGCTAGTGGACTTGGACGAAGGTGTGAAGAAGGTTGTTGCTGCTGTCGTTCGCGTCGTTCCCTTGCGTCGTCGGAGGTGGTG